GGTTGGCCTTGAACTTGTGATCCACCTGCCTCTACCTCCCAAGCCACTGGTATGAGAGGAGTGCACCACCACGCCCAGCCCTCCCATGGGATTTTAATGGCACAGTTACACCATGTATTTGCCAAGACCCTCCGGCGGCCATAAGCTGCTATAAGCTCTTAAAATTTTTTTGCCCCTCTCCCCAGAACCAATTTTCACTCTCTTGTGAGGTATTGCCCTCATCAAGGACGCACAATCTGATATGTACACAGAAAGAAAGCTAGAAACACCAAACCGGGGGCTCCAGGAGGGCAAGCGGGGAGAGGGAGCAAAAAGGAACTCCAGCGGCTCTGTGGATTCTACACAGTGTGAACACCTTGCAGCACTGAGTTCAATCCTTAGTAGCCCACAAAAATAAATAAAAGTATATAGGAAATTTTTAAAAAACTGAAAAACTGGAATCAAAGAACAACTGGAAGCAACCCAATGTCCTATCCAAATGTCCATTTGTCCCATCAGACCAGGCAGGGTCCTACTCGGCAACAGAAGAAAACAGGTGGCTGGGCACATACACCTGGATGCTGCCCAGGTCCTGTGCTCCAAGGAGGAAGTCAGGCCCCCAACCCTGGACCCTCGCTTGGCATTCTGGCAGGGGTAGCTGAAGGACAGAGGGAAGACCAAACTACTAGTGACAACCTGAGGAGGGTTCTGTACCCAATTATCATGAAATTATACAACACTTGCCAAAATTCTCAGAACTCAATACCAGAAAATCAATTTGGCTATGTATAAATGTTTCTGAACACAACCAAGATGGCAAAGTGGGGCATGCAAAGATCTTTCCTTCTATTCCAACATCAATGATTTTCATATTGTATTTTTACCACATAACAATGCAACAAGATAAACATTTCCATTGATGAGAAATAAAGCAGAACCCATGGAGAGGGATAGGGCTGAAGATGCAGGCCAAGGATGCTGGATCCAGAAGAAAACACCACGGGCCAGGGTTCCAACCCCGAAGGCCCTCCACCTGTGACTGCAGAGCAGGGCCAGGCTCCCCAAGTGAAGCCAGGGACTCAGACATTGTACTTCCACCAGTAAAAAGTAGCCAAGAAGCTCATCTGGATCTCCCACAAGCTGCACGCCACGCAGGCCACAAAGCAGTGCCTGGCACCTGGCACCAGCCACAGTGTCATCTGCACTGGAACCAATGTGGAACCTCAGTGGGAGTCAAATGGCCTACTTATAGCGTGGGCCTTGGAGGCTAAGCTATAACAGAGAAGGAAAGATTTCTTCCCAGAAGCTGGGAATGTAGTTCAGTGGTAGATCACTTGCCTGGCTTGTGGGAGGCCTTGGGTTTAATCCCCAGTACTGAAGGGGAAAGAAAAAAAGATGGAAATGTGTCCACACAGCATCTGGAACGTTCCTAAAACAAGCTGGGCATGGTGGCCACAATGGGATCCCAGCCATTCAGGAGGCTGAGGCAGGAGGATCACAAGTTCAAGATCAGCCAAAATCCAAAGAGGTAGGGTGTAGCTCAGTGGTAGAAAACCCTAGGGTTGATCCTCAGTACCACCACCAAAAAAAGACAACCCTAAAACATGAAGCTGAAGCTGAGAGCGCAGCGAAAGCAGGAGACCTGCACACAGGACAAATCTGACCGTCCACCTGGAGTCAACACCAAGCCTCCAAGGCCCATCTGCAGGAATGGACTCAAGGCCCCAGGCCCTGGAGCCAGACCCTCCTGCACTCCTGACCCCCTCCCCCAACGCTCAAGACCCCACTCTTACTCAGGGTCAACAGCACACCAAGGCTACACACAGTGCTGCCTTGTTAATAACGTCCCCACTGATCCATCTGTTTTAGGAAACAGCTTCCACCAAGTGACTTAGCCAACAGACACTCACTGAGGGCTTACCATGTCAGAGACAGTCCGACACACTGAGGACATGACTGAACAAGGCACATTCCTGCTTCCACGGGGCAAATCAGGCAATCAACAGAGCCACAGGTGTCAGCTGGTCAAGGTGATGGGAAGGCAGGACCCTATATGGGGGCAGACAAGCCACTGCCGGGAGGGAGGCCCAGGAAGGCCTCTCTCAAGTGGAGTTCTGAAAAGAGAACTTACTGGGTGATAGGCTCATGGCTACGCTGGGACCCAAGGTCCCAGATCCTGAGCCAGGGCCAAGGAGCAGGGGTCGGCCACAGGGGTGGCACAAAGCATTTCACAAAATATTTCAAGGATACCAGCTCATTTCTAAGGGAGATGAGAAACCACTGAGGGTTCTGAGCAGACAAGTACAGGATAGGACTTCCACTGTGAAAACATCAACTACTTGCTGCCGAGGGCAAACTGCAGAGCTTCCCTTTTGAGAGCAACAGGCAAAGTTCTGCGGGACCAAATTTAGCCCAAGAAAACAATCATTATCAGGGGCTTTTGTCTGTTTTTGGTGCCAGGCATGGGACCAAGGCCTCTGCATGCTAGTCCACCACTGAGCCACAGCCTTGGCCCCTCCAAGGAGTTCTAAAGCTATGTCTGAAATGGAAGGACTGCAAAAGAGGCAGGCATGGGATGCGAGATCCAGCCTGACCTCGCACTCAGGACAGAGTGATACCGTAACCCACAGTCGTAATCCACAGTCGTGCACAAGATGAGACCACCTTCTGTAAGAACACAGCAGAAGGATGGGGCAGAGCTTCCCAGGACCCAAAAGCCGGACAAGGCAGGGTGAGGTGGGACCTATCAGCAGCTGAAAAAGGACATGGGGGTCAACAGGAAACCAAAAGTATCCACTGAGGCTGGCCCTAGAGAACAAGGGAACCGCGAAGGGAGCGCAGATTCGGGGGCTCAGGGACCTCTGGCAGAATGCTTGGAGGCTTCATACTCAGGCAACTCCACTGCGCAGGTCCACGAAGCCAGCCGCCACCAGCAAGCCCAGCACAGGGTCGCAGAGATGCACAGCCCGAGGACCGCATAGCCCCAAGGCTGCGCTGAGCCAGACCCGCAGAGCCCGAGCACCTCGTAGCCCTAGGGCTGCACAGCGCCAGACACCGCTGCACAGCGCCAGACCCGCAAAGCCCGAGGACCGCAGAGAGCCGGAATCGCACAACGCCAGACCCGCACAGCCCCGGGGACCGCATAGCCAGGGCCCGCACAGCGCCGGGACCGCATAGCCCCAAGGATCGCACAGCGCCAGGCCCTCACAGCGCCAGGACCACACAGCGCAGGGCCCGCACAGCTCGGCGCGTGCACACGGGACTCCGACCCGGCCCTGCTTGGGCACAGACGACGCGCCGCGGCCCAGGCCCACAGGTCGCCCCCTGCCTCTCGGCCCTCGGCCCCGCCCGCCCGCGACAAAGCGCTGCCGCGGCCTGCTCCAGACGCGACGCGGGCGGCGGGGCCCACGGCGGCCGCCCAGATAGCTGCTGACTGGCTCCCCGCCCGCCCGGTCGCGGCCTCCAGCTCACCCTGGGCCACGGGGCTGCGAAGCACAGCGTCCAGACCGAAGAAGGCTTGAGCGCGCCGCAGCCGCTCGACGCATCCGGGTCCGCGAACGCAGGAAGCGGCGGCGCGACGGCGCGGCAGCTACGGCAAGCGGGAGGGACGCGCGACGCCCGGCCCGCCTCGCCACTCCCCACCGCGCGGTGGCGCACGACGGCGAGGACGGCGAGCTAGAGAGACGCGGCGGCGGGCTAGAGAGGCCGGCGGGCTCGGGCGAGCTCCCGAGGCTTCGGGGAGGGCCGGGGCGTGGCCACAGCCTCAGGGAGCGGTCGGCGTAGGTAGAGGACTGGCTTCGGGCAGCTTCGGGGAGGGCTCGGGTGGGCCGGGCGGAGCTGCCGCGTGGGCGTGTGGGCCGCGGCCAGGGAGTCGAGAGCGGCGAGCGGTCTTGACAAGGCCTTCGGCGTCATTGGGCACCAAAGAAATGCAAATCCGAGCCAGGACCAAATTGGCCTTCGCTCGGGACGCTGGAGAAAAGCGGCAGCAGCGCAAGCGGGCGCCGTGGGCAGGGGCAGAGGGCGGCGCAGAGGGGCTGGCGCGTACCGCAGCTCGCCCCCGCAGCGGCCCGCACCTGCGGGCACACCTGGCCACCCGCGAGGTCAGTACTCTTCATTCACATCAGGGGCTGGACGATTCCCTGCACAGGGAGCCTGCGGAACAGAGCTGTCTTGCCAGGGGTCGGGGAGCAGGCAGGGAGCGACTTCAAACGTCCGTGGGATTTTCATTTGGAGTATTAAAAATGTGAAATTAGTGCTGATAGTTGCACGACTTGGAGAGCTTACTAAGTCACTCTTTGTACACTTTACATGAGTGGATTCTGTTGAGTGCAGGAGTGCCCACCTGTCATTCGAGGGACTCTGCAAGCTGAGGCAGGAGAATGGCAAGTTCAAGACCAGCCTGAGCAACTTATAATGAATGCCCTGTCTCAAAATAAAGGGCTGGGGACATGGCTCAGTGGTTAAGCACCCCGGGGCTCAGTCCCAGTAAGACACAATGATTGATGCAGGTGCACACGCCCACACTTGAGGTATGCTGGGGACAAAGGAGAAAGCCCTGGCTGTGAAAGGGCCCGAGTGGTGGAAGGGATTCCAGCACACCAACGGTGGGCTCCCCCTCTGGACACTGAGGTGGCAGCAGTGGAGAGACCTAGTTAGAAAGGGCAAACTCCAAGCCCAGGCTCCATGCAGGCACTCTGGGACAGAGAGGAGGCCCAGAGACTGGGGACACAGAGTGGTGTATTCCAGCAGCAGGCCAGCAGCTGGCTGAGGCCAGACGGGGGCTTGCCTGCCCAGGCAGCCATCTCAAGGCACAGAAACAGGGGTGCCCGCTCGGGTCTAGGGAGAGGACAGGGTAGACACAGTGTGCTGCCCTGGGGCTCCAAGCACCTGGCCCTTCCTGCCCTGCCTCTCATGGAGGGAGCAGGTCTGTGTTCCTCAGCATCTTTCCTGATGCAGCCATTTCCCACTCATGTCTCTTAACCCCCCCCCCAAAAAAAAAGTGAAAAAAAGGAAACAAGGACTCACTAAGCAAAACATACTTATTTAATAAGAAAATCGCTTCTTTAAAAAAATAGTGTCTTCACGTGCCAAGGCGTGCACAGGTAGCTGGAGCAGAGCTGGCTAGGCGGCACTCCTGAGATGGGGACTGGAGACAGCATCCTGAGGCAGCTCTGGGCTCCCGGTGCTCACAGCAGGCAAGCTGCACCATCTTACCTCCAGCCCCAAAGCCTCAGTCAGTGTCTCCACCCCCGTCCCCTTCGCTGCCATCCAGGGGACTGGGGACCTGCGGAGGGGCAGACGGAAAGGACTGTGAGGCCAGCACTTGCGCGCACACACACACACTCTCCTGCATGTGGGAGGACCCACCAGCTGAGCAGCGGCCCCCAGCCAGGAGTCTGACGGACAGCTCCTTCTTGTTCTAAAATATACACTGTACTAGGTCCCTTGCAGAGCCCCCTGCATCAGACTGCCCTGCCGGACGGAGGGGAGCAGAGTCGCCTGAGCGGGTCAGGGGTGGGAACGCCTGGCAGCTGAGCATGGGGCACAAGCAACCCTTGCTTGCAGCAAGGAGACCTGGACTCAGACTGGCCAAGAGCATCATCCAGCACTAGCTGGTGAACCCTGCCCACAGGACATCCCTACTGAGCACAGGCCCCAGAACACAAAGCAGTGGGAAGAGAGGGAGGCAGCCAGTGCCAGATGGAGGCAAGTTTCCAGGGCGCTGACCATGCGGTCACATGCCCTGGGCCCACCCCTCCAGCTGCATGTGAACTTGGGAAGTGACACTTGCCCATCTATCTACTAGGAGGAGGAGAAGCACTACTGCCCAGCCTCCCCACATGCAGGCTCTGGACCTGCACCTCACAACCAGTGCCTACCTTGGTGCCTGTCCGGGCCGCCGAAAGCGCAGTGGCACTGAAATCATGGACGGGCAGGGTGCTCAGCCACTGGGCCATGGACCGCTCGTCCCGTTCAGTGCTGACGATGGTGGGGTAGATATGCTGCTCCTTGAAGGCCGCCACCTTCCCCTCCTCCTGTGCCCAGTCCAAGGGCTCGTGCAGCCCATCACCGCCAAAGCGCTGGTTGTACTTCTCAAAGTGCACCCTCTCCAGGACCAGGCCAAGCCCTGGCGCTTTGGGCACATCCACCTTCTCCTCCCCCCAGCTACGCTCCAGCACACTCTCCGGGGCGTAGCCCTTCACGATGGCCACCACCAGGCCCACCATCTTCCGAATCTGGTGCATCATGAAGCTCTGGCCCTTCACCTTGATGACGGCGAACTCCAGGCCCTCGCGCAGGAATGGCTCCTCGCAGTACATGTCCAGGATGTAGCGCCGGGCACTGGGCTCCCGCGGCCCCTTCTGTGAGGTGAAGTTGTGGAAGCTGTGGGTGCCCTTGTAGCAGGACAGGAGTCTATTGACGAGCCGCAGGGTCTCTGGGCTCAGGCGGTAGGTCTCGTCCTGCACATCGCGGTCCTTGTGGGCGAAGGCAAAGGTGGGCAGCATGTACAGGTAGGTCCTGGCATCACACTTGTTCTTGGAGTTGAACCCACCTGTGACCCTCTTCAGCCCTGGGGGGTACACGAGGAGAAGCAGGTGAGCATGGTGCAGGACTGGCTGCCCACTCACCATGCTGAGCACAAAGCGCTACCAAGAATTGGGCTTTTGGAGCCCGGCACAGTGGCCACACCTATAATCACCACAACTCAGGAGGCTGAGGCAGGAGGATGGCGAGTTCAAAGCCAGCCTCAGCAATGGTGAGGCCCTAAGCAACTCATTGAGACCCTGTCTGTAAATAAAATGCAAAATAGGGTGGGGATGGGGATCAGTGGTTGAGTGCCCCTGAATTTAATCCTCGGTAACCCCCAAAAGAGTTGGGCTTTTGGGTCCTGAATTCCTATCTCAGAATGAAACACAAACACAAGCCCGACCGACAGACCAACAGAAGCATGTGGGTCTGCTGAGGCTGGTGCTGGCGAGGGTGTGATGACACTGAGTGGCGGGCAGCCTCTGGGTGTAGACCCCTGCGGCCTGCACATGCGTGGTCACGAGCCGACTGAGAAGTGCTGCAGTGGCCAGGGACACTCTTGCTCCAAGTCACGCTACTGACACGGCACTTGCAGCAGAAAGACTGGACACAACCTCCAGGCCCACAGGCACAGACCAGAGGTGGAGAGAAAGCAGTTCTGGCCTCAGGAGCAACCTCCAGAAGCTGAGCACAGGCCTTTGGTACAAGGGGCTGCTCAGTAAAAGGGCAAAACACAGGCTGGGACACCCGGGGCGTATGGCTGCACTTGCACAGGAAATCCTTGGAAGAATAAGCAAGAGCCCAGTGAAGTGATGCACGCCTGTGATTATAGCAACTCAGGAGGCTGAGGCAGGAGGATCCAACTTCAAAGCCAGCCTCAGCAACTGAGTGAGTCCCTGAGCAACTGTTTCCAAGAAAAAAAATTTTTTTTTAGTAGTGCTGGGGATTGAACCCAGGGCCTTGTGCATGTGAGGCAAGTACTCTACCAACTGAGCTAGATCCCCAGCCCTAAATACAAAAATTTTTCACAGTTTGTATTGTGTACAATCTGTGAAAGGAGATTGAGAAAGTGGTCACAAAAAAAAAAAAAAAAAAGCAGCAATAGAGACTGTGATGATCTATGCCACCCAAGGCCTAAAACCACCTGGCCCTTCAGAGAAACCCCAGAGCAGGACTGGATGGCTCCCGGGGGCAGTGGCCTGCATGCACAGGAAGCTGGGTTCATCTCCAGCAGCACCAAAGAAAGAAGGACACCCCTAAGCAGTCACCAACAGACCCAAATCACAGGTACTAACCAGAAAAGCTATTAATTAAATGGAATAAGGAGCATCAGTTAATCCAAAAGAAGGAAGGGGGAACAAGGCACAGAGGTCAAGGGGGAAAAGAGCAGGACGGAAGTCTGCACAGTCACACCACCCAAACAGCACAGGCCGGGTACGCCACTTGCAAGGCAGAGGTGGTCAGGCTTTTCTCTCCTTTTTGAAAAGGGCCTTCCCCAGCACTGAAGAACAAAGCACTTGAGTGCAGCTCAGCATGCACGCAGCGTGCACAGGACCCTGGGTTCAATTCCTGGCACCACAGACCCGAGAGCCTAGAAATCCCACTCATCAGACCTGCTAAAGAACATCTCCTCTGTCCTGACCATGGCCTGGAGTGTCACACCCAGCTCTACAGGACAGGTGCGGCAGGAGGACCCGGGGCCGGGGCCCAAAGGAGGCAGGAACACTGAACTCCAGAAGCAGGACTGAGCAGCTGCTGCACTCTCTGGCCATTCCCAGGGACATGGCAAAAGGAGGGAGGCCTGCACAGCCTCCAGTCTAGAAACTACCCACCCCTGGCTACAAGGCTTACCCAAAATCCTGATGTGGGAGGGAAGGTGGCTGTTGATCTTGTCTAGAATGTCATCAATCAGCCACACCTTCAGGGACACTACCTGGCCAGCTGCAGACACACCCTGTAAAGGAAGCAAAGTGAGGAGTGACCTGGCCCTCCAGCTCAATCTATGGCACACTGGTCCTGAGATAAGAGGCCAGCAAATGCCCCAGCCCGCACACAAGTCCTGCTTCTCGAAGTACACCAAAGGCAGGAATTCACTGAAAAGGCAGTGTCCACACCCACAGGGTGAGAGCAGCAGAGCTTGCTGCAGATGACCTAGGGCCCAACAGAGCACTGAATCAAGGAACAGACTAGCCCTGGGCAGTCAGGAAGCAAAATCCCACGTAAGACCCGACTCCCAAAGATTCAGGAAGAAAGAAGGTACAGTGTAATCCACAGGACTAGAATGAGTGCAGCCAGGAACAGGCTCCCTGTCTGCCGCAACAGGAGACGCCTGGGCACTGGGAGGGCAAGGTTCTGCACAGGCCAGGAGGGGCCTCTGGGAACACAGGCTCGGATGTGGGGTGAAAGCTGACTGACTCCACACTACACCCAAGGTGCAGGCGCCACACCTGCAATCCCAGCACCTCAGGAGTCTGAGGCAGGAGGGTCGCAAGTTCCAGGCCAGCCTCAGCAACTTAGACCCTGTCTCAAAAGTAAAAAGGGCTGGGGATGCTGCTCGGTGGGAGAGCGTCCCTGGCTTCGATTCCCACTGGACAAACGCCCACGTTTGGAGAGGCTTTCTTCATCAGCTCAGGTACATTTTAACTTCTTCTACCTTGAAGACAACTGGATACGTAAACGGAAGAATGAAATAGAGAGTAAAGCACTAAGACCACAGAACTGCGTCCCAGCCACTGGGGGCGGAGGCCCGGGAAGTGCAAGTCTGAGGCCAGTCTGGGCAGCACAGCAAGACCCCTGTTTACCAAACAAAAATTTCAAAAACCCACAAACAACAACAGGAACCACAGAACTACCTCTGCTTTGGGACAGCAAATCTACCACTGTCCTCATGCCCTGAAACTAAAATTGCAGGCCACGGGTTCCCCACACCTCCCTCTAGGGCGCTCTGACTCTGGGTTCCTGCCTAGCCTGCAGATCCAGGAGACCCACATGCCTTTGAAACTACGTTTCTCGGAACAAGATCCAAAATTTTATTCAGATCCCCAGGGGACTGTGACCCACAAATCGCTGTCCAGGACAGACTCTGGTGTCTCAGGCAGCCTGCAGGCCAGGCAGGCAGAAACCAAGGATAAGAGCCAGCTTGTTCCCAGTACTGGGTGCCACCAAGAGGCGCATGCTCTCAGGCCCCGTCACCCCACCTGCCCATACAGGTGCCCTAAGTGACACACCTCCAGCTCTAGGGCCCAGGCCCAGGCACAATAGTCCCATGCTGACCGGGACTGAGTCCAGGAGGGGTTGTAAGCCCATCAGAAACACATACTGGCTCAAAGACCTGGCACATGCACGGGGCAGAGCACACCCATGAGGAGTCTGTGTTGCTCGCGTGTTGCAGTGAGTGCGTCCTGCACACGCCGAGCAAGAGCTGACAGTCTACCATGTACGGGCCCTCACATGTGGCTCCTAGACAGCACACCTTCATTAGTGTGGCCTTCGTGACCACGGCTGTGTCTGCATCCAGGGGCTGATGTGGATGGATCTAAAGCATTGGTCACAGCCACTGCACCACCTGCGGAGGCAAGTCTACCTGAGACAAGTGAAAGGAGAGTGTGAAGGCCAGCAAGGACACAGTGGGGCCAGCGGCGGGCACCTGATGCTGCCACTGTGAGCTCGTCCTGCTCCTAGACTTCAAAGAGAAAGGTCTTTTCCATTTAGACTCATCTGTGCCTGTCCTGTCCGCCAGGGTCCTGACGAACAGAGCACCAGGATGGCAGGTAGCCAAAGCTGCTGGTGCCCACAAGCAAGGGGCAGAGAACACCACCCACCTTGTCAGTGCGGGCACAACGCTGGAAAGACATTTTCCTCATATCTTCCCCGTGATTCTCAGGAATGCAGCCTGCCTGGACCAGGGCAGATACCAGGTCGTCCTCGATTGTCTTGAACTGTGAGGACCCCACATTCCTCTGGAAAAGAGATGGGACACTTCACTTCCCTGGAGCCTGCAGCGCACACACAGCCAGCAGCTGGGGATGAGGGAGTCCACTGGGCCCAGTCTCTGCCTGGTCCACACCACAGCACCTGGAGCGCAGCAGCCCACATTGTGTCACTGGCATCCAGCCCACAGAGGGCAGCCCCACCCTGCCACTGTCCCTGACAGGTGACAGGGCCTGCCAAAGCTGGGTCTGGCATAGCAGCTTTTACTAACCCTTCAGCTCCTGGAAAAAGCAAGTGAAAGCTGTAGAGGCAACTGCAAGGAACAGACAGAAGCCTGCTGCTTGATGAGCTGGGTGGAGAGATGGGGCCTCCCTGCCCTCGGCAAAGAGGCCCGTGGCCCTACTGACCTTCTGCGTCCAGGAGCTGCACAGTCCCTCCTCTGAGCCTGAGTGTGCCTGGCCCATTTGACACCCCATTCAGAAGGTGATGAAGTCACCAGCTCACTCAAGGCCACATGCAGGGAAGCCACTGAGATGGCCCACCACCCTGGGAGATGACCTGTGTGCCCTGAGGACTTGGGTCCCTGCGTGAAGCCACAGTGGTGCCAGGAGAGCAGAGCTGAACCCAGCCAGCCTTTCCCAGGCACAGTCTCACCTGCATGCCGTGGTAGCCCTTCCCTGAGTAGGCCATGAGCAGTACAATCTTGCGCTTGGGCAGTTTTCTCGGCCGCTCCTCCTCCTCGCTGCCCCTGAGCCTCTTGGGCGGGTACTGTGTGTCCTCCCAGACCCAGCCACCTTGGGCTTTTCTGTCCTGGTGTGAGGCCCGTGCTGGGTGCATCTCCTTCCCGGCCATGGTGGGTAGGCTGAGAGGACATGGGAGTGAGTGGGCCAAAGCAGGCAGGGGCAACAGGGTGCAGACCTGCCAGGCTGTACCCATCAGGCCCATTCCAGCCCTCACTGGGGACCTTGCCCAGGGGTGGCCTAGTATGGGCTGGTCATGGGGCGGGGTCCTCAGCAGGGATGGGCAGCACAGGACTACAGGAAGCAGGACCCTTGTAGGACAGCAGCCCACGGCAGAGGCAGGCGGCCCATGGCAAAGGAGAATAGCAAGGGGCAGGGGACGAAGTGCGGGGAGGTGAGCAGTGCAGGGAGGAGGGGGCAGCGGTGGGCAGCCTGGGGCAGCGGTGGGGCATCACAGGCAGAAGGGGACAGAGGCAGCCAGTGACAGCCGACACGGGGCGGGTGGGCAGCGCTGGGCGGCGTGGAGCAGCAGGCGGCCTGCCCGGTCTTTACCCGGGCGCGCGCGGGCCGGGGCGCGCCGGCCACCGTCCCCAGGCTCTCCGCAGCGCGGCCTGCAGGCCCGGGACGCCCATGCGCGGCGAGCGGGGCGCCGAGCTCCGAGCTTGAAGCAGCCCCAGTCCCAGGAGGCCCTCTGACCTCCCCCGGCCCTCCTCCCGCCGCCCTCGAGTAGGGCCCAGCCCGCGCGCCGGGACCTGAAGGGCGCCCACCCTCCCCACTCACGGCCGCCGACGGAGCCGAGGCCGAACACGTGAGCCAGAGCGGAAGCGGGCGGGCGCCCAACGGCAGCCGAGCGGGGGCAAAAGTCCTCCGCGTCAAGATGAGGCGGAACCAGAAAATCTGGGGACTGGATGGGGCGGAGCTGGGGCGGAGCATGGGCCGAGGCTCCCTCCCAGGCCTCAGTTACCGAAGGCCAAGGCCCACAGCAGACATCCAAAGAGAAGCCCTTGGCCCTGCAGTATCCCAAAAGGGAATCCATTTTGTTAAGGTTAGGGTAAGGGTATGAATGAGCCACTGTGAGGATCCCTAGAATAAACAAGTGATCATACCAGCTGACACATTCATTAACTCGCCCAATCCTTGCGCCTTCCCGGAGTGGCAAGCACCATCCTCACTCCCACGTTACTGAAGAGGATCCTCGGAACAGAGAGGTACATCCCATGTCCAAGGTCGCACAGCCGCACCCCTGGCACTGACAATGCACCAGGGGTCCTTGCATTTTCCACCCACTGGCTTGGCAGGGTGCAGACAGCATGGGGCCCAGGATTCCTGGCTTATTGTGGGTATTGATACAGCACTTGCTGTTGCCAGGCAAAATTCCAATCGGTGTCACACTAGCTGGATCAGTCCTCGTGGAACCATGGATAAGGCTGTGCTGTTTCTCCACATTACAGTGGGGGAGGATGAGGCATGCGGCACTGAAGGGGCTTGTTTGGCATTCAGACCCAGCCTTCACCTCTACTGTATTTTATTTGCAGTGTTAGGGGCACCAAAGCCAGGGCCTCACACGTAACAGGCAAGCTTTCCACCACTGGGCTACACCCCAAGGCCCCAGCTGCATCTCTGCTCCTAACACTGACTACTTATGCCTCTTGCCAACCTTTTATTTGTTCAAGCAAGGATGACATTTTTTAAATGCTGCCACTTTCATTTCCTTTAAATGGAGAATGTTTAATGTCATGGAAAGCTCATTACATTGTTCTTGTTTTTTTTGCCAAAGACTAGTGTACAATTTTCCAGAGCCAACATGGTCCCTGGTCAAGCACCCACAGCAGACAATGTAAAGGCCAGTCCCCCCGTTTTCTGAATACCACGTTCACCCTGAGCACCCTCAGCCTGCATTCCTTTTGACTTTTTACTTTCAGAGATGAGAAGTGTACCTGACCTCTGCCCCACCCTTGCTGACTCCCAACTCCGCTTTCCCACTTGCCCTGACAAAGGCTCCCTCCCAGATGATCCAGGACCCTCTCCCCTACTCAGGATCCTAAGATGAATCACATCTGCCAAGTCCTTCCTACCAGCTACAACATGCTCCCAGTTTCCCAGGAATCAGGGCCTGCACACCACAGGGGACCATGACTCAGCTGACCACATGCTTTAATTTGGGGCAGGAAGGAGCCCTGTAAGTATACAGGGCAAGCATGTTCCATCAAGAGTGCAAAGCCCCGGGGCAGGAGCATGCCAGGTGGGCCCCACGAAGGGCTTGCTCCCTCCTAAAGGTGGAGGCTTTAGGGCCAGGGGCATCCACCTAGAGCCTGTAGGGTGCCTGCTGAAGGAGAAAGCCACAGGAAATAAGGCCAGAGTCTGGGACCTTGTGGACACAGAAGGTTGTGGCTTTGGTGCTGAGTAACCGGGAGACCAGAAGGCCCAATGGATGCCCCTTTCTGGGACCATTCATGGACTATGTGGAGTGGGTGAGGCTGGTGGCCAGAAGGGGAACAGGAGAAAGTGACCCACCCATGCATGACAACTCCCAGGCCATCTCGCCTGCCATTATTCTAGGAGGGAAGGGTCCCGAGCACAGGCCCACAAGAGCACCTGTCCCGTCAGAGGAGCTGGGATCCCTTCCCAGAGCAGCTCTCTGTGCCTTTGCAGCTTGAGGCATCCGCGAGACACACCTCGCCTGGTGGGAGCGCACAGCTGGGCAGTTCTGCGTCTGCTGGGACCACGATCTCCCCCAGCCAGCAGGACACAACCCAGCCTGAGGCGCTATGCTGTGCCCTGGGAGGTCAGTCTCCACCCCAGCCAGCCCCTCTCAACACACTAAGCCTCCTGACCAGTCGCAGCAGCCAGAAGCCAGCAGCCAGGTCCAAGCAAGGTGCTCCCGTCTTTGCCTCTGACGCACTCCTGTCCCCCACAATACTCTGTGCTGGCCACACCTGCTCCCTCCTTAACAGACGATGATATCACCTCGACTTGAACCTGTCTGTGGAGGGCAAACTGAGGCCCACGAGTGGGGACAGAGGCCCAGGGTGTCCTGCTTCTGTGCTAGAGCAGGGACTGTACACCCTCCTGGCTAAGAGCACTCACCCTGGGCCCCAGTGCACAGGCCAGCCTCCCGGGCCACCTCTTCCCCTCAGGCTCTAGTGCACAACGCCTGCCCAGGCTGGGGAACTCAGGGTGCCTTCAAGAAAAGGACAAGCCATAGACATGGGGTGTCCTCAGTAGCTCCTGGGCTCAGGCCGAGGAGCAGGTGGGCACAGGGCAGTGAGCCATTCTGTGTGATGGGATGGTGCACACGACCACACATTCATCAAGACCCACAGGTTGTGTACCCCCCCAAAAAATGAGCCAACACCCTGTCTGGTGGCTTCAACAGCACCTCCCAGGACCATGGCTCCTCAGCACAGGACGCCAGGGCGCAGAGACAGCAATCCACTCTGTGGGCCTCCCTGCTTACTGCAAACCTACAACTGCTCAAGTGTGAACCCAGAACACCAGGCCCTGACACCAGCGGGCACGTCCCTCACAGGAGCAGGGCCCCAGCCCGCCCCGCCTACCCCGCCCAGGGAAGCTTCTTCCCAGCTGATAAGCATCTGTGTGTGCTTCAGGTCTCCAGGGCTCCCCAGGCAGACCCTCAGACCCTTCTCTTCAGACTTCCAAGATCTGCACCTCCCACTTCCTCCAAGATGCAGCCTCCCAATGAATTGCATTTAATATTGCAGTTACTTTCCTTATGAACACAGCACAGGTTGGCCGTTGACCTCTCCACCCTAGACATGGGCACTTACAGAGAGGAGTCAAAGAGGGGCCTACGTTAGTGCATCTGTTACTGGGGTACCTGTAGAACTGAAAACCTGGACGTCCTGAGCAAAAACACTAACCTTAGGATCCCACAATAAAAGGGCAGAATTAGCCCACTAAAATGGGCAAAGGAACTGAGGCAGGAGGATCAGTTTCCAGGGCAGCCTCAACAATGCCATGAAACCTTCTCTCAAAATAAATGAAAAGAGAAAGGGCAAAGGAGCCAGTACAGTGGCCACGACTGTAACCCCAGCTACCTGGAGGCTGAGGCAGGAGGACCAGTTGCCAGGGCAACGTAGTGAGACTCTGCCTCAAAATTAAAAGGGACTGGCTGGGGCTCTGTGGCCAAGTGCCCTGAAGGTTCTCACAGTGTGCAGGGGTCCTGGCAGTGTCGAGGGCTATGGCAGCTCCTGTGTAAAACAGGGGTTCCACCTGACCCTGGACACTGTCCTGGTCCACCTCCCAGAGGAGTCAAGCCAGTGGCTGCCCTGGGCCCCACTACTCCCCTCAGCCTGGGGGGCTGTTTCCATTAGGAGGGCAAAACATAGCATGAATCCAGAAAGCTGTCCCTGGCTCTGGCTCTGACTGGGCTTTGCTCCCAAAGCTAGGTGAGCTGCTGTGGGGACCGTGGGAGGCCCCAGAATCCTCACTTGGGCTGGGGGACACCATGCTCCACAGAGGGACCCCACACCTGAGAAGACGGCTGGACTTGGAAGACAGTGGCATACCAAACAGGACATGGACACGATGGGTAATTCCAAAGTTTACTTCCCTCGAGGCACACGACACAGGTGAGGGGAGGACTCACACATTCACCCTAACAAGACACAGGCCTGAGCACCACCTCGTGGAGGGCAGCATCCACTCACAGCACACGCAGCCACAGCCGTGGGCACCAGGAGGGGCCAGCAGGCAGGGCGCGGCACCAGTCTGCCGCGGCTCTGGGTTCCCGTTGGCATAAAGCAATAAATACTAACACAGGACATGCAGAAGGGAAGCCGGGGCGACGAGGGAGACAGGGGTGGGGGTTTTCTCATACATCCAAGCACAGTGGCGACATTTCAAGTATTGCAAGGAAAACCACACGTTTCTGTGCATGTGGCACATGACCTCTGAACCTATACCATGGGCACCACTGACCCACATCTGCCTCTGTGGATGCTCAGGGATACATTCAAGTAAGGCTGGCAAAGCTGAGCCAAGCCAGGGTGGGCAGACCAGGGAGGCCCAGGCAGGGCACCCTGAGCACACCCCACCCTGGGCCCTGGGAGACAGGGCTCCGCCCAGCCCAGAAGCCGCCAGGCAAGAAGCCTTGACATCAGGACCGGCTGTGAAGCCCCGGGGAAGTTCTGCATATGTTACTTTTCCTGTTGCACAGAAGGTCCACCCTCCCCTGCCCACCATGTTCAGGTGGGGACGGAGGCTGGGCACTGCCCATCCTGTGGCCAAACAGCAGGATGGTGGGAAGCAGCCAGCCAGAAACACCCATATTGCAGTGGGTGCCCGGCAAGAGAGCCGTGCCATACCCTGGCACCCGTCAGGCACCTCCTGCCCCCCACAACATGGCACCCACAGCAATGTTCAGGCCTACCCACCCTTCCAGAGCAATTCCTCAAACACCTAAAATTCTCTCCTTTGAACAACGAAAAAGAAAGAACTGCAGAAAAATAAGACACATTTTAGGAGTAAAAGTGTGAAAGAGGACATCTGTTCTGCGTTTGGGAAACTCGGTGCTTCTCACTGTCCCTAAGAGCCTTTCAGCCCACGGACAGCGTCTCCTGCAGGGCAGCGGTTCCTCCCAGGACCACACCAAGGGCTGGGGAGGCTGTGCACACACACACGCTGGCAGGTCTCCTCGTGTGTATACACCTATATGCGTATCCACAGCTCCCTGGTGTCCACGCGCGTCCACATGCTTCCCACAGAGCAGGAGAGGGTTCTTGCAGTCTGCACTGTCCACGCAGCTCTCCGGCAGTCAGCATAAAGTGCACAGGTGGCCCACAGAGCTGGGTGGGTGGTCTCAGAGGAACAGTTCCTATAGAGAAGGGCAGAGACCCAAGGACACACCCTTGTTCCTGGGCAAGCGACTGGGCAGTGAGCCCTGAGGAAGAAGAGCTTGCTTTGGCATGGACACAGCAATGCTGTCTCAGGGCCCCGCCTGTCCTCAGGGCTGCCCAGGGCTTTGGAGGGTGGCAGGTACCACAAACACCACCTGCTACCACTCGGCGCCTGTGCCTGCCACGGGAGGCAGCCACAGGGAACCAGTTTGGAAATCCTGCAGAGGGAGGGAGCTGTCCCTGGCACCCTGCAGTTCACCTCCAGCAAAGACCAGCAGCCTCTGAAGCAGGAGACACACCACATGGTGGGGCTTGAACTCCATGGCTCCACCTAGTGGCCCTCCCAGGGGCCTGCGGCGCAGACTCAGCACCATCAATCAGCCACGGCTGGCAGGCCTGTCCTGACAGTCTGGCCAGCACGTGGACTCCACCCCGCAGGGTTCGCAGAGAGGGTCCAGCCCCTCGGGCACAGCACACCAGGCAGTGGGTCAGGCGCAGATGCCAGTTAACAAGGCCGAGAGCCTTCTCTCAATGCACAGCTTGCCTGCAGAGGGGAGGGAAGGTGAAGTGGACAGACGTAGAGCCGCCCTGCGCACCCAGCCAGCCTGCCCTGGCGTCCAGCCAGCCTGCACTCACACTTGGCCACACTCTCAATGTCTGCCTGGTCTGTGAGCATGCGCTGCAGCCCCTCCAGCAGCAGCAACGCCTTGTGGTAGCGCGGCACACAGCCCTCCCGGTGCTGGAACATCTCATCCAGGGCAGCCGACTGCACCTGCGGGCAAGGGCAGAGCTGGGCAGTGTGGCACACCTCCTCAGCAGGGGACACATTGAAGCACTGTCCCATGGGGTGCAAGCCCAATGCTCCGTCACCACCGCTCACAAGGCCAAAGGCAGTTAGAGCTGTGGATACCCCCAGAGTGGGTGTCCCACTCAGCCCAGCGTGGCCACTGTGCTATGAGCTTGGCCTGGGGACACCTGCCCACCATGTGGCCCAGAGCACTCGCTTACTGTCATTCATACCACCATTGGTGACAAGGTGCCCTGACGGCAGCCCGAGGCGGGAGCGAGAGGCAGGGCAGGTAGGCCTATCCCTGTGGTTGGCCAGGCTTTTGTTATGTGTGACTTATCTCAGGAAAGCAGCCACAGAGGTCCACAGAAGCATGCCTGGTACCCCAGTGTGTGGAGAGCAGGTCTCTGTTTTAGTTGGGGAAGGTGAGTCTCAGGGAAGAGTATGACCAGGATGCAGCTGGACTGTGGAGGTGGCCGTGGGCCAGGTCCAGGGATGCCCTTGACATCTGGCTCCCCAAGCCAAGAGACCAGCAGCAGCCCAAAGCCCCCATGGGCCTCCAGGGTCCCAGCACAGCAACCCGCCCTACCATCTGCACAGCGTGACTGAGGATGAGCCTCTCAGCGGTGACACCATGGATGCCGTCCAGCAGCCGCTGCTTGTCTAGGAAGAAGCGCTGCAGTCGCAGGCTCAGGCCCTGACAGGACACCACGCTGGCCTTGTACAGCTCGTTGAGCCTGCGGACCACTGTGGCAGGGAGGAGGGCACAGGTGAGGTCAGCCCAGGCCCGCCTTGGCCAGGGAGGGCTGTGTGACAAGGGAGCTCGTGGTGGGAGGGCTGGGCCAATGCCCAGCATGGAGGACACCCCGGCAGGGAGCAAGCACCCAACCCACCACAAACCCCAAGGCTCCTGGCCTCCACGCCAGGCTCAGCATCACCCATAGGGGTGAATGACCCCAGTGGACCACGCCAGCTGCTCCTCCACCTGGCCTGGGCTGCCCATGTGGCCTTGTCACTTGTTGCCTGCCCACTGTCCCCGCTCTCTCACATCTGCTGGCTCCTGCCTCCTTGGACCCACTCCCTCAGCCATGCCACCACAGCCCTCACCCTGCTTCACGGTAGATGAGAGGCAGAGCTTGCCAGCCCGGATCTGGTCAATGGCGGTCTGCAGGCCTGAGGACAGGAGCTCAGCCACCTTCAAGTACAGCACCAGCTGCTCTGCGAAGCTGCAGGACAGCCAGCAGGTCAGAGGCACAGGTCCTGCCCCAGGACGCTGCCCACCAGCCCCACCCAGGGCAATACCCACCCCCACTCGCGGCTCAGCAGGCTGATCTGGTCGGCCACCATGCTCTCCTGAAGCTGGCACTCAGGGCTCCCGGCCCCCTCGCTGGCACTGCCCTTGAGGGCAGCGATCTCCAGGACAAGCTGGACGAAGGCAAGTGTGAAGCGCAGGCTGTGCAGGATCTCCGTGTGCTCCTGCTGCAGACAGGAGGGGCGCTCACTGCCAGCACAGGCGGGGGCACGCCCACACCGCCACCCCACGGGGCCTCACCTCCATGAGCGTCTCCTCTGGGAGATCAGGGGCCTCAAAGGTCACAGCCCCATCCAGGTTGACAGAGAGGGGGTCAGCAAAGCTGCAGCAATGACCTGGGGCAGGGAGCTCAGGGACAGGCTCACTGCAGGCCCCGGGCAGCAGGTGACGGGCAGAGGAGCCAGCAGAGCCCACTGTGGGAGATAGCTGGTGATGGAGGTGGCAGCCCCACCCCTCTCCTGCTCCACAGCCCCCAGCCCTGCAGACTCCACACTAGGGCCCAGGTGGCCTCAATTCACACCCCACTGTGGCAGGGAAAGCCCAGCAGGCCACATTAATGGCCCCCCGCCATTGGGGGTCCCACAGGACCCCACCTGGGGCACTGCAGGCTTCCACACACCTGAGCCCACATCTACCCAAAGGTGGAGGCACTTGAGGCCATGAGGGTGCAAGGTTCCCACCTAGCGGGGCTAGGTTCCAGGGAAGGTAGGGTGTCCCAGAGGATGGAGCAGCCCACTACCTTCACTGTGGAAGTCACAGGCCCCAGTCCAAGTCTGTGCCAAAACCGGGGGCAACTGGCCTAAAGAGGACAGCCTGTCAGGATGGCTGAACACAGAGGCTGGCGTCCTGGCCAGGGGCCCAGTGTCCCAGGCACCATCCCTGCTCAAGGTACAATCTAGAAGAGCCACAGACCTTGCTTGCTGACTGGCCTGGACACCTTGGGAGTTGGGGCTGAGCTGGGATGGCCCTCTGCCCATCTCAGAGCCTTGGGGCCTCGGAACTACCTAAAGCTAAAGGATCCCCAGCCCCAGGTTGCTGCCTCAGCCCCAACAGGTCCTCACCTGAGAACATCCTGGTGCGGGGTCCCTGGGGCGGTGTGGTCCCACTGGGGGGAGAACCCACAGTGAAGACCACTGGGGAGGGGCTGCTGGCTCCACCAGCACGGGCTCCTGGGTGCAGGTTCCCTCCGAAGCCAGCAGAGGGTGCTGGGAGACAAGGAGGGCTCAGGGCCTACTCTGGGGCAGTCCTACCCCACCCCCAGACATTGGCCCCAGCCCCACCGGCCCTCAGACATTGGCCCCAGCCCCACCGGCCCTCAGCCATTGCCCCCGGCCCCTGGCCCACCAATCTCCATGGGCTTCTCCTGCAGGCTGTCTGTGCTGCCAGAGTCGGAGGCCTGGGTCCCAAACGCAGCCTTGAGCAGCAGGTCAGTGAGGCGGCTGGTGCTGAAGGACCTGCAGATGCACAGCTGTAAGCAGCCTGGCCCCGCACAGCTGTCCTTGCAAGGACAGGCACAGGCGACACCGTCAGCCCTCCACCCACCAAGAGCAGATCCCACCAACACCTGCCTCCGACAGGCAGCAGAGGCTCAGGAGGGAAGGACTGGCTGCAGGGCAGCCAGGTCTGAGCCAGGATCACTGAAGCCACCACAGCGGGCACCAAGCAGCATGCTGAAGCAGGACAAAGCTGGGGAGCTCGCCTCCCACCCCCACTCACCGGCCAAAGGGGCCCCTGTTGTCCTCGGCAGGCCGCAGGCCAGAGCCCAGCTGCTGCCCCTGAAAGGGCCCCACCTCTGAGAGATCGGGCAGCGTCCGATTCCGTGGCGGGGTCATCACCACGCCCTGCCGGGCCAGGAGAGCCAGCAGGTTCTGGGAGCTGGGAGCCTTAGGGAAGTCGAAGGAGGGCAGGGCCTGGGGACAGAGCAGCCCTGAGCACACCTGCCTGGGGAGCCCCCAAGCGATGCGAGGGTGAGGCAGGGTGCTGCAAGGGGCCAGCGGGCAGGCACAAAGGACATCACACCTAGCAGCTGGCTGCAGCTGTGGGTCCCTCTTAGACGAGGAGGCTGAGCCCGAGTGTGCTGACTCTCCCTCACCCTGTCCCTTAGTCCATACACCCCAGGAGTGGCCAGTCCTGCTACAATGCTGTGCTGCCACTGGAAGTTGGCCTCCTAGGTGCATGTCCCCTCCAAAGGGCGGCCACGGGGTGTCACATTAAGGACCAGCCACAAGTCCCCATTCTACAAGGCTTCAACACAGGGCAGGCATGAGGTCACCAGGGGCTGGCCAGCCCTTAACAGAGGGACCTTGAAACCTGTAGGGCAGACTTGGTTCTCTCACCTTGGTGGGAGAGCCCAGGATGGGAGGCAGGGGGTTGCGCTGCAGGAAGTCAGGCAGCTTGGGAGAGCCACGCAGAGACCGGCAGGGCTGTAGCACAGGAACTGGCTGGGGAGGGCTGGCCTGTGGTAGGCTGAAAGCTGCTCCCAGGGGGTCCGTAGGGGGCTTGGGGAGCTTGGGCCGAACAATGTGCAAGTCGGACAGGTTGGGGGCGCTGTGCAGACGGCAGCCAAGACCCGGGGCCCGAGGGGAGTGTTCGGGCACGGAGGAGCCTAGGACCAGAGACCAGGCCTTAGCACCTCCCAGGTCCTCAGGCACTCCAGAAAAGGGACACACGGGGCCACTGCCGCCACGCCCTCCCCACACATCCCTGGGCCCCACAGTTACTCTAGGTGATGCCTTTGCTACACTTTGCAACTGAGGAAACCAGCAGAGGGACTGAGAGGCCCGTGCAGGGGCACACAGCTGCAAAGCAGAAGGGGCTGTGGACAAACAGCCTCCAAGACCCCAGCAAGGAGACCAGCCACCTGACCCCATCCACCTTTCTGTCCTCAGGCCCATGCTGACTGTTCCTACCTGGACGCGGGGACCTTCCAGCCCGCATCTCGGCTCCCTGTGGGGAGGGTGCCTTACTCCAGCCCGGCCGCTCAGGAATGGTTCCAACTTAAAGGAAAGGGTCCCAGGGTCAGACTGGGACAGACTGCAGAGTCCCTCGTACCCCATATAAACCTCAGTTAGCCAGTTCTGCTCAGGTGGGGACTAGGCCAGAGGCTCACCTTGAGGAGATGGCATGTAGGGCCGTCCTCCACCCAGGGACAGCTTCCTGGCCAGGACAGCTCCATCAGGGTGGGATGGAGGAGATGGGCTAGCTCGGGCAAAACCCAGGGGGCTGGTGCTGCCTGACCTGCGGATGGCAGAGGATCTGCAGTCGCAGCAGACCAGGAGGTGAGGCCCTAGCTCCTCACCCACGTCAGAAAGGCAAACAGCCCTGCTGCTGGCTCTGCCCTCACTGTGCTGTCCAGGCAATGCAATGGCCTTGGAGCAAGCACCAACAAGGTACTGACCAACCAGGGCCCTCTGACTCCAAAGCCACAGTCCTGCAGGGACAACTGCTAGCCCAATCTGCCTCTCGTGAGCTACAAAGAAAGCACCCCTTCCTCCCATCTTCTCTCAAAACTGGAAAAACTTTCTGGCATGGTGGCGCCTGCCTGTAATCCCAGTGTTGCCAGCTCGGTAATTTAGTAAGCCCGTAGGCAACTTTTTTTTTTTTTTTAAAGATAGAGAGGGAGGAGGGAGGGAGGGAGAGAGAGAGAGAATTTTTTAATATTTATTTTTTAGTTTTCGGTGGACACAACATCTTTATTTTATTTTTATGTGGTGCTGAGGATCGAACCCAGCGCCCCGCGCATGCCAAGTGAGCACGTTACCGCTTGAGCCACATCCCCAGCCCGGCCGTAGGCAACTTAGCAAGACTCTGTCTTAAAATAAAAAATAAAAAGGCTGGGGACATGGCTCAGTGATGATGCACCCCTGGTCAGCAGGGTTTTGTAAGCTCAGGACACCTTGCTCACATGGTTGGAACAGCACTGGACCCAGGGAGCCAAGAGCGTATGGTACTGACCGCACAGTGCACAGCCAGGACTCACCGGGGCGTCTGGGGCAGAGCTGGAGAGTGCAGATTCTGCTCAATGCGCTGGTAGTTGTGCACCTGGGTGGGGACCGGGATGGGCACCGAGGCTCCACACCGACTGCTAGAGAACGGGCCAGCCCGGCTGTGGAGGGAGGTCAGGCTCACTGAGCAAGGGTGCTGGGGTAGAACCAGGCCCAGACAGCCTCGGGCAGGGGCCGCCTGGCCACTGGCCCAGAGGGAGACTCCAGTCAGAAGGTAGGCAATGTCCTCAGGTATACCCCCACCACCAACCCCTTGGCCCACGGCCTTTAATGGGATCCTCCCTGTGGGGCTGGGGTCCAGCCAGGTCTGATCAAAGGCAAGGCCTCCAGACATAGCAGACCTTGCCAGGGAGGGGCAGCCACCCCACCTGGGCCCTACTTACCCAGAGGGGCTGGGGGAGCTGCTGCAGGTGGGAGAGGGAGAGGGAGATGGGGTCCGGCCGTGGCTCTCCAGGCCGGCAGAGGCCACCAGGGAGCTCCTAGTGGACAGAGGACAGGGAGGCACCTTTACCCACTGTGGCACAGGCCCTGGGCTCTCCCCATCCCTAGCCTTCGCTGGGCCCAGCAGTCTGGTCCTTCCCAAATGGCCTCTACCAAGGTGGGGCTGGACAGGCAGAGATGACACCAGCCACTCTGAAGGCCCACCTCTGTCCCTCACAGGGCTTACCCGCTACACAGCAGACTGTCAGGCGGGGGCTTGGCACAGGCCACCTCAGCCACCAGGTCCCCTGTGGGTGGAAGACAGCATCTGGCCTAGACATCCCCATCCTCTAGGTCCCACCCTGCCCCCACCTCTGCTCCATTCCTCCCCACCCCCCTCTGCTCCCCACACTCAGGTGGAGACTCCAGAAGGGCAGCTGTGAGCTGGCACTGCATCTCTGTGGATGGGACTTGGGCAGTGAGATACAGACTGGGAAAAGGGGACCCTGGGTGCAGCCCCCAATCTAGGAGACCCCCACACTACCTGCCCCCATCTCTCCCACTCCACAAACTCCTGGACCCAGGGCCTCTTCCCAGACTGCACTTCTCTGGGATGGATGGTAAGGACGGTGATCCCTGACCCTGGTGAGGGGCCAGCCTTGCCAATCCCCTGCCAACCCAGAGCGTCAGCTGATTGGACATGCCAAGGGCCAGGCTGAGTCAGGTTGCTCCTGGCCAACACCAGTGCCAGCCAGGTCCCCAGAACAAGGAGGGGGAGCACAGGATCCAGTGGTAAATTGCACATCCCCAGCAGGCAGTCCCAACTGCTAAGGGCAGCTTCCAGTCTGGTGTGGGCAACAGGGAGTGCCAAACACACAGTGGAGGATGCCGGGAGGACTGCAGGGCAGCCTGGAGATGAGGACTGCCACTTGCTTGCAGAAGGCCTGGCCCAGGGCAGCAGAAGCAGGCCCTGCCTGGGGGGCCAGAGCCTGGAGTCTTGGGCCTCTGATGCCGGCTGACCAATAAGTGGCGTCACCTATGCTCCAGGTCCCCTTCAGCAGAGAAAGACTCACTGACATGCTGGGCTGCTGGGGCTCTGGAAGCCCCTCCTGACTGCCCTGGGGAGACCCCACACAGAATCACTCGCACATCCCGCAGACAGGGCCACTGAGCTCTGCCCACCAATCCCTTCCTGCCTGCAGGCCTCCTGACCTGGAAACTGGGCTGGGACCATGACGAAGTCATCTGTGTCACAGGAGTCCTTGCTGCTGCCAGCAGAGTCCCGGGAGCCATGCAGGAAGCCGGCCGTGTCCGCTGGGGAGGTGAGCGTCTTCTGCATGTGGGGCATCTCCCCTAGGGACTGGCGAACAGAGGAGGCTGATGAGCCAGGTCCGGGCCCCAGACTCTGAGGACCAAACCACACCTCTTCTGGGCCCATGCCTCAGTAAAACCCAGGGCCAAGGGTGCAAGCAACAGGCCTTGCCGTTCTTCCCCTCTCTGCCCCTGCTCCTGCTGTGTGGGGCAGCAGGGGTTACCAGAAACTGCACCTGGAGGCCCACCACTGAGCCATCCCCCATGCCTTTGTTTATTGTGAGATTGGGGGGTGGGGGGTCTTGCTAGGGTGTTCAGGCATGCAGTACCACTGTGCCCAACATACTTGCTCCTTGAATTTCAAGACACAGAGGCCTGGCCTCATAGTCACGTTGCCCCCAGAGCTGCCCACAGCACCCCAGCCAGGTGGCAGGGGCCTGGCTCCCAGCTCCCTCAGGCAGGCACTTGCCCCCGGCCCCCTGGACCTCACTGTTCTGCTTCTACAGCAGAAAGCGCCAGGCGTCTGGTGGGGACGCTCTGCTGGGCGCCAGCCAGGACACACAAGGCCTAGAGCTCTGCCCAGGGCAGCTCCACTGTGCTCACATTTGGAGCCAAGGGCACAGGCACAGTCGCCTCACTGCACACTGGACAGAGGCCAGAGCCCACACACCAGCTCATCAACACCCACCACGAACACCCCTCCCAGAGGCAGGCGCTCAGAGGATGGGCAGGCGCTCAGAGGATGGGCAGGGCTCTACCTGGCAGCGTCATGGAGCAACCCCTAGGAGGGCCACCACTCCCTAGTACTGCTCAAAAGCAGCCGAGGCTGCGTGCCCCTGCGTACTCCTGCACCAAGTGGCTGGTGTGCAGCCTGTGCCTTGTTCAGTGGTGCGCCCTGTCTCCCAGCCTTCCCTCTGGAGCAGAGTGTGCTCCTGCACTCCTGTGGCTCAAAGTACCAGCCCAGGCAGGTCCAGCAATAGGGCTGGAGCAGGCCCACTTACCGGAGGGGAGGCAAGATGAGAAGTGGAGCTACTGCTGGAGCTGCTGCCAGACCCTGAGCTCGGGTACGAGGGCACAGGCACTGGCGGGGCTGGGGAAGAGTACCAGTCAGTCTACCAACATTCTGAGGACAGGGGCTGTCTGAGGCCACTCAAGCCAGCCAGCCTAGGTCTGGACAGTCTCCAACACAGCTCGGTGGAACAGCTTCCTGACCTCTGACCAGTGGGGGGCAGGGTGAGCATGGCCTCGAGCCACCCACTCTGTGCCCTGCACCAGCACTCAGAAACCCCCCACCAGGCCTCATTCTGACAGCAGCTGGAGTGAGCAGCAGGTGACCCACCTTTACCCCCACTACACCATGGCCACCTGCCACCCAGTCCTGGGGCCCAGGCTGCAGCAGGGCTAAGGACCCTTGGGCACCCCCACCCTCCTGAGAGAGGGCCTAGCACAAGGCCCATACCCTATGCCCTCACTCCCCAGCCCAGCACAAGACACCTAACCGAAACCTAGGGAGGACATCAAGGCCCCTCCTGGGACCCTAGGACCCATAGAGACTTACACTTCTTAATGGAGGCACTGGCGTCCAAGAAAGGGTGACGAAAAAATTCCTCTGGAGAGGAAGAACAAAGCCTCAGGAGTGCTTCTCACTCAAGCTGTGGGGTCAGGCAGGCCCCAGACCCCTGGGCAGAGGTGGGACTCTAGCTCACAGCATGGCCCCCTGTGAGCCTGGGGTGCTTCACCATCTACTGGATGGGGCTTCCCAAGGCAGAACCAGGTCTGCCAGCCTTGCTGCCAGGGAAGGAGCTCAGGTACCCGGGGACCCATTCATGCCACTCCCAGAGATTAGAGGTGCCACAGTAAGGCTCATAGGAGCCCAGGTGCCCAGACTCCGACCATCAGCTGGAAAAGGAAGCCAGAAGCAGTACCTGCCACCCAAGCAGAACTGCTGAGAGGACAGTGCCCTAGGAGCATGGGAGTGTTGGAGAGGGAGTCAGGGGTTTGACGCTGCCGTGTGCGTGGTGATGGTGGGGGCAGCTGCCCCAGGCCATTAGGAGGCGAGCTGTGTGCACTCACCGAAGTCCATGCGGTCTTTGTGGTTGCGCTGCAGCAGAGCCAGGAGCAGCTGCCGCAGGGGTGCCGACGTCTCCCGGGGGATGCTGGGTGGGCAAGAAAAAACAAGCTAATGGGGCTGGTGGGGCACTGGGCAGAACAACCAAGGGGCAGGAAGCACTTACACGGGCACAAGAGTCTTGTTCTTCTCGTAGAACAGGCGCAGGTCCTGAGGGCTGCTGGCCTGGTGGGACAACGGCATGAGACTCTGCTTCCGCACAGCCCGCTTTCTGCTGTGGCCAGGTTCCCTACCTGGCTGGCCCATGGCCAAGACCACAACCCAGCTCCCGTGCCTGGGTCACACACACTGCCTCCCTGCTGACCCTTGCCAAGCAGGGCTCAACCACCACAAAGGAAGTATAGCATTTTAATGAGCCAGGGACCACAGGCGGGAGCAGTCACCTGGAGCGCAGTACTGCCGCCCACGACCCATACTCATTCCCTGCCTCCTCCTCCTGCAGAGTGACAGGCAGGATCACCTGGAACGGAGCCTTGCCCGTCAGGCACTGGTACACGATGGTGCCGATGCTCCACAGGTCTGCCTTCCCATCATAGTGCTGGGACATGATGACTTCAGGGGCCTGTGGGAACATGCCAGCGCTCGGGCACAGGACAGGCACTGGAGCGCAGTGACTGGGAGCAGATGCCACACAGGCACTGGCTCAGGACCAGCCAACCCGAGCTGACTTGGCGGAAAGGCACCAGCACACTGGCTGTAGCCCAGTGCCTACAAGGTCAGCTCTGGACACACAGGTCAGAACCCAGGGGCTAGCACCCTCAAGAGCCTTGGGTGATGGGGCCATCCCCACCAGGCCCTGCTTGGGAGATGCAGCAGGGAGGAGGCCACGCACCATGTACATGGGAGAACCGCAGAGCGTGGCTGCCATCATGTTGCTCTGGAGGTACCGGGCGAACCCAAAGTCAGCTGTACGGGAGAGACATCAGGAAGCTTAACTTGGGCTGGCCACTGCCAGGGGTCATCTTCAGTAGGCCTCACTAATCTTTCTTTTGGGATGTGATGGGGGTTGAACACAGGTGACAACTGAACTGCACCCCCAGCCCTCTATTTTTTGAGACAGGGTCTGACAAAGGTGCCCAGGCTGGCCTTGAACTTGCAACCCTCTTGCCTCTGCCTCCTGAGCAGCGGGGATTACAGCTCAGGCCTCACCGATCTTGACACGGATGTGATTGGGGTTCGCACGGCGCCCCCCAGGGTTGGACAGCAGGATGTTCTGGGGCTTGAGGTCACGGTGGATGATGCCCTTGCTGTGCAGCAGCCGCATGGCACCTGCAATCTGCTGCAGGAAGAGCCTGATGGTGTCTTCGCTCAGGGTCCGCATGGCTGCGAGGAGACGTGCGCTCAGGGGACACAAGCCACCGCTGCCCAAAACATTCCCAGGGTGCATGGGGCTGAGCCCAGGAGGACAGGAAGACTGTCTGGACTGTGCCTACTGCCTGGAGAGGCAACTTCCTACTCAGCTGCAGCCTACCTGACCCTTAGCAGGGGCCTCGTCCCCACACCACCTCACGTCTCACCCTTCACACCAAACACTGCCAGCCCTCAGTGCCAGCCACAGGCTGCTGGTCTTTCTCAGTTTATGTTTCACTCTCTCTGCCTTTTAATATCTTCCTCACCCCCAGACAAGCAGCCAGCATGGCAAGGGGTTCTAGGATGAGCCCCCAGGGTCCTGGCCCACCATGACCTCCAAAAACTAAGTACTGGGCAGGTGACCTTGAGGCGGAGCTGAGACCCTGCCCAGGCTCCCAAGAGGCCCTGGCCCGTGCCAGCAGCAGACACAGGGCCAGTGGGGAGGACCCCGTGTCCAGGGTAGCTCCAGTGGTCCCAACTGGGCAACCAGGCATCTTAGGACCAGGTGTGGTGATGCAAGCAGGACAGCCAATCCTGGGAGGGAGCAGAAGCAGGTGGTGGTCACTGTCACCCAAGGAAGGAGACCATAGGGACAACCAGCCAGGACAGGGCTGAATCCAAACATGCACACTGCAGACAGACACAGTACCAGGGAGACACAAACACCCCACACAGCCCCTGCAAACACACGCACCTGGAGACACCCCCCCCCTCCAGGGACCAACCACACATTCACCTCAGGGGCAGGCTCACCTGGCCGGTCACCACACACAGGCAGGCAAGCCAGGGAGCCCACACTCACACTCAGGTCACAGAACTACCCTTGCAGGCAGGTGGCGCCAGAAGCTGGCCTGGAGCTAACCTGACACCTGCAGAGCCTGGAAGCTGGCCAAAGACTGCCTAATCACTAAAGGTCATGGCCCAGGAGCAGAGTGGCAGCCATGGGGACAAGAGCAAACACTGGGCAGACAGCATAGCACAGCACAGCCACGTGGTAGCTGATGCCTGCTATACACCTGCCAGTGGCCCAAGGGCCAGGACCACTGGCTTCAGTGCCTGACCCTCACTCATAGGGCACCTTGTCCCATCCAAAAGATGGCACAGAGTCGCATCAGGGTAGGCCCTCCCCACCTGGAGTATGCTCTGCCAGCTTTGGCCCCAGCCAGAGTCCTTCAAAATCTACACATGGAAATCCTTCCCTCACAGTGATTATGGGGAAGGGCTATGGCCAGGCCACGGGGAATCCTGCCCTCATGAGAGGCCTGAGGGAGCCCATCTGTCCCTTCTTCCATGTGAGGCCTTAGCAAGAAGCCACCATGTAGGAGGGCCAAATGGCTGAAGCCCATGCAGCCTCTGCAGCTGTGAGCTGGTAACCCTGCTGCTCATGAATCACCCAGTCTGAAGGTTTCTGTCAGAGCTGCCCAGTAGACTGACAGGTGTCAATATTCCTAGGAGGGAGTGTCCTCCCCACCTCCTACACACAGGGCAGCCTCTGGGAAACACCTGGGAGGGCTGTGAGGAGTCCCAGGCAGCACTCCAGTGTTCTGCCAGTGCTCTGGGGCCCTCCTGCCCCACCATCTCCACATGGCCCCTGAACTCAGCCTCAGTCAAGCCAAGAGCCGCTGTTCCCGCCATGTCACATGACCAAGGCTGCAGGCACCCTTCCACCTTCAGGCCCCAAAACAAGGCCCCCGTGGTGCCCCCAGCCCATCCCTCTCCACCCCCTGGTCTGGTCTTGCCCACAACTGCCCCCACTCCCTAAGTGCCTCTGCTTTGAAAACACAGCCCTCTGACCACCCTGGCCAAGGCCTCTGCCCAGCACACGGGAGGCACTCGACAGACTGTGAAGGAGTAGATAGGCGAAGGATGGAATTCTAGTGGTCTGAAGTTGTAGGGTCCCCTCCCATCTGCCCCAGGGGCAGTTCCTGCTGAGCCAACCCTGGGCTGTTAGCACTGCCCTGTTGTGATGCGTCTACTCACTGTGCAGGTAGTCAGCCAGGTCCCCACCATTACAGTACTGCAAGAGACCAGTGCCACACGTCAGGCACGGCCAGGCCCCTCCAGCTTGCCCAGGCCCTCAGCCCACACCCACTCCCATGGCAGGTGTTCCAAAACCCTGGGCCACCACGCCCCTCCCTCCGTGGCTCCCAGTGCTGTGGGCATTGGCCCACCAATGCATGGAGCCTCTGCCCCTGGTGACAAGGGACTGCCTTACTCCAAGCTTGACCTGGCCCCACAGGGACTCACCTCCATGACCAGGTAGACGGAATTGGCCATCTCCTGTGAGACAGAGAGAATGCTATGAGAGGAGGGAAAAGTGCCACCTGCTCCCACAGGGCACAGCTTTGGGGACCATGGGCACCCTCAAGCTCCAAATGTCCATGGGGCTTCAGTGAGAGTGGGCATGGCCAGGCCTGGGCCACTCCGCAGGGTCAGGACAGGATGCCTGTGACCAGGGACACTGAAAGGTGTGTTTACTGTGTTCTATGGCTTGAACATGGGCTTGAGTGACAGGAGCAATGGAAAACAGGAGGGACCCGGGGAGGGAGTGGACCCAAGACCAAGGGCCTCTATCAAGGGAAGGGCCTTGTCCCTGAGTCTGACAGGGTTAAGCATGAATGGTAAATCCTGGCCAACAGGAGCCTCTAGGTAAGGAGGGCCAAGGCCTGGGTGCAGGTTGGCCTTGACCCTCAGGCTCTGGAATCAAGGACGACAACAGATCATGGGTTGCTGCTGCTGGGCTGAGTAGGCAGGTAGAAGGAACCGAGCTGACAGACCCTAACTGACGGGGCTTGTGCCACTGCCCAGGCCAACCCTCCAGCCAGAGGCATCCTGAGCCATCTGCCCACTGCCCCGCAGGGCTAGTTTCCAGCTGACCCTCAGCTCACACTGACCTACATCCAGGTCAGTGGCACAAAACCCTAGACATGTAAAGGCCCACTGCAGCAGCCACCTGGTGCGCCTGATGACCAGTGGGCACCAGGTGCCTGCCCGGAAGCAGTGCTGCCCCATGACTCGCTCATGCCTCACCCCAGTTCTTTGACAAGCACCAGCGCCAGGGGCCAGCCGAGCCAGGAGGACTTGGTCTTAACTGCCCTGAAACTGTGCAGGTGGCACTCCTTCCCTGAAGCAGGGCGCCCTGCCAGGAGAAGAGCAAGATCTCCCCCTCCCTTCACAAGCACAGAGCAGAGCTGGCCTTGGGGACAGTGGAACAAGCCCTGTCACCACCAGCCTCTTCTCCATTCTGCAGCCTGTGGCCGGATGCACAAAGACCCCACTCCAGGGCACCTGGAAGAATCTACACCCTGCTCCACTGCAACTCCAGACGTGCAGTGCCTCCAACTTCAAGTGGGAGACAAAGAGGGTGCACTTGTGAGCCCCAAAGTTCCCACAGTGGGGGCTGGCATCCACCACCAGGGGGATGACAGAGTGCTTTCAGAAGCCCACCAAGACTGAGCACACACTAGCTGAAGACCACACTGACCGGCCCCAGCAGCCAGCTGCCACCTGTCAACCCCAGACCCCAAGCATGTCCTTAGACATGCCCTGTCCCCATTTGGCAGGACCAAGTATCCCTGACACCTGCTCAGCCAACTGACCCCGTGGGAGGACCAGGCCTGCACATGTACACTTCTAGGGATGGACATAAAGCTGCTGAGAAACACCCTGGATGCAAACACAGTCCCTATGAACAATACCCTACCGAGCCCCAGAGCTGCGGGGTGGGGAGTGCTCAAGGCAGCCACAGCACACAGTGTGGTCAAGTCCCGGTAAGGAGGACTCATAAGGGGCACAGGACAAGGGGAGACTGTCCATGCAGGCCTGTGCAGTCTGCTCCCCGAGTCCTGCCTGAGCTCACCTGCCCGAGCTCACCTGCCCCAGCCCAGGGAAGAGACAGGAAGCCCCGGCAGTGGCCTGCCTCCCACCGGATCTTCCTAGGCCAGCTGGGGGAGAGAGCACAGGTGGGTGAGTTCAGAGTCCCCAACTGCAGCACGACAGGAACAGGGCTAGAGAGACAAGAGACAGGACAGTGGGACAGTGACAGAATGGAGGAACAGTCAGGGACCATTAAGCCAGAGGGACAAGGAACAGGATAGAGAACAGATAGGAACAGGACAGAGGGAGAGCCCACAGTTCTAACCACCCAACAAAAGTCAGGGCCAGGAGAGGATCAGGGCAAAAGGTAATGGAGTTAAAGACCCAGAAATAGGTGTGGCAGCAGCAGCACACACCCCTGCTTCTTGCCACCCCCAGGGAGGCCCTGTCCAGGGAGCTTCCACATCCCAGCCAGCAACCAGGGCTACAGGGCCTCTTATCCTGGAGTCACTACCAGAGGGTAGCCAGGTAGGAGGCAGGCCTTCTCTCAATCTTTAGCTGCACTCCTTAGGATGTGACCCAGCAGAGTCCAAACTCACTCAGCAAGCAGGGACAGTGACAGGGACAGAAGCAGGTGGGGGCATATGCAGAGGTAGACCATATCCCCAAGCTGCTCACCCAGGATTGCAGGGACAGAAGTCCTGCTGCCTCTCTCCCACTGGGGGATCTATGAGTCACAACAGCAGTCTCCTGCCTCTCCAGAAAGACAGGGCTCCCTGATGCCAGAAGATCCCTTGTATGCCCACACAGCAGGAGGCTTTGGCCCCTGGTCTACACCATCTGCTGCCCACTCTGACCAGGGCCCTCCCCCAGTCCTTTACCCAATGGCCTCTGCAATGCTAGGGACTGCAGCTCCCAAGCCTGCAGGCCCCTGAGGGTTCACAGATGGCACGCTGAAAGGCCTACCCTCCCAGATACCCTTCTAGCCACCACCCCAAGGAGGAAGGCCACTCACATCCCCAGGGAGCCTCCTGCAGCTACCCACCTGCTGTGCTGGCTCCCTGAAACCTTAATGCTGTCCCTGGAATTCACAAGCAGCCACAGGCTATGTGATACCAGCACCCCAGTCTCCTCTCCATGCCCCTTCCCACCCACTCTGGCCTAGCCCCTGCCTAGCCACTCCCAGAGGTGCTTCCAGACCCAGGACCCAGGCAGGCTTGGGTTGTTCCACCAAGCCACACAGAACTCAGGCTCCAGGAGACCAGCTTAGGCCCTACACCCACCCCTCTGCTAAGACACAGCTCTACACAGGTGCCTGGGACCTGTGCACAGTCACAGAGCCTGTACTCTGGCCCCCCAGTGCCCACTCCGATTCCAGGCCTGCCTGATCTCCAACAGGGATGCTGACTGAGGCTACAGTAAGTTAGGAGACACGCCTGGAACCACAGCCAAGGTCAGCTGGTGCCACTGTCCATCCTCAACCTTGCTCAGTGCCAACACCAAACCAGTAGCAATCTGGAACTCCATGCCCACCAGGGGCAGCTCTGCCACATCACCTCGACCCCTGGCAAGGACAAGAACAGGGACCAAACCAGAAAGCCAGCAGGGCCTCCAGGAGCCCGGGTGGGGGACTGTCTCAGAAGTGGCATGCCCAGGCCTGGTCCCAAGCCCCACCCACATCCACTGGGGACCCTCCCTGTGGGAAGTGGCTCTCTCTGGGGCCCTGCAGGGAGCGGGGCAGAAGCCAGATCACAACCTGATCACCACAGCTGATCTGTTCCAGCCAAGCCCTGGGCCCACCCAAAACAGGCATCAGGTTCCACCTCCAAAGCCTCTTAGCAAGACTTGGTTTTCACAAGTTCCCTAGGGAGCTGGGGCCAGGCAGGCCTTGGCACCCAGCCAGCCCCATGGACACCTGGAGGGCCAGTGATGCCCCAACACACAAGGCCAGAGACTGCAGGGCAGAGGGAGCCACTGGCCCCATCTCACTCTCAGGGCAGGACTGGGGAGCCTATCACATCCCCCACACAGGCTGCAGGCGGACATACCCTCAGGTGTTCTCACGGCTCTCCCTGCGTTATCACCCCAGCCCAGCAGGCAGTTACATCAGTTTAAGGGAGAAACAAGGCAGAGAAGTTGGGAGCTGAGCCCAGTCCCAGCTGACCTCAGGGTAAAACGACGGCTGATGGGCTGTCCATGAAAGACGATTAACACCTCTTTAGCAAGTCAACCAGGTGACAGAACAAAGCCTTTGACAGGTACAACTCCAGCAAGGGCCCTGGGGACCAACCTGCTCCCGTGGGCTGGCCCTCTACAGGAGGCAAAGCTAGCTTCAGAGGCAGTGTCCTGGGCAGCTACACGGGCGTCCAGGCACGTAGGAGGCAGCCCCGCCCCTGGGGCACTAAGGTGCTTTGCTTAATAGGATCCCAGCTCCCCACCCTCAGCAGCCCCACTCTGGTCTGGTGATCCTGGGCTGGTCTGGTGGGTGGCAGGCAGGGCTGACCTACTTAACTCCTTTGGGGTGGCTCCTGAGCTCCAGAAGGCAGCAAAGCCACAGCCATGGCCCGGAAACGTCCTCTCCACCTCCCCAGGCTGCGTTTTCTGGATAGCTCCCAAAAGGGAAGAGATGCCTGGTTCCACCCCAAGGAGGAAGGCCACTCACATCCCCGGGAGCCTCCTGCAGCTACCCATCGTTGCTCCCTGATCCACGTTTGGCTTCTCTGCGGCTTAATGCGAACCTTCAGGCAGGCCCCTGAACCCAGGGCTGCTCACTGGCTGTGGCAAACTGGGTGTCCTGACCCCTAAGGGCAGGACCCTCTGCAGAAATGCAGAGGATGTTGCCAGGGTTAGCAAGGTCCCTCAGAAAGACAAACTGCATACCCCTCCCTGAGACCCAGCAGCCCTGATCCTTGCACACCACTGAAACCTATCAGAGGGATTCTTTCTGCCGCTGAGCAGAGACTCCACCATTTAGGGACGCGCGCGTGCGCGCGCACACACACACACACACACACACACACACACGGCAGAACAGTCCCATTGTGGGACACCACAGCCATGAAAAGGAGATTCCTGACCCAGTGACAGAAGGATGGAATCCCACTTCTAGCTCAAGGTCCAGCATGGGTAGGTGTCAACAGCCAGGCTCAACTGGACACAGTGACGCATGCAGGAGGATCACAAGTTCAAGGCCAGCCTCAGCAACTCAGACCCCAACTGGGCTATCAAGCTCAGACTTGACAGCCCAGGTTAGTCCTAAATAAGGCCTGCCCTCGGACTCAGCCCCATGCCAGGAAGTCCATCTGCTGAAGTCTAGCTCCACACCAAAACAGAAAGACACCTGGATGTGGCCCAGTGGTTAAGCACCCCGTTCAATCCCTGGTGCCAAACAGAAACAAACTTTTAAAAAGTGGAAAGCCAGTCCTGTGGCTCCTAAGCGTGATGCCTGGGTTTTCAAGTCTCAGGTGACAGCTGCCTCTCAACCTTTGGTAGATGTTGACAAGTTACTGCCTAATGTAAAAATACTGGTAAAACAGGCAGTCTGGAGGGCTGAGGTTGTGGCTTAGTGGTAGAGCGCTCGCCTAGCATGGGTGAGGCTCTGGGTTCAATCCTCAGCACGATGTACAAATAAATAAAATAAAGGTATTGTGTCCACCTACAACTAAAACATACATACACACACACACACACAGACACACACGCACTTAAGAAGAAAAAAAAAACAGGCAGTCTGCAGAACTGCCTGGAACCTGGGCCCCATGCATAGGCCTGCCTGGAGCAGGGCCCCTGCTGCTGTACCCTGCCCCCACAAGGATTCTCTCAGGGAAGGGGGCAGAGCCAAGCCTTCCCACTGCTGCAGCAGGTGCTCCTGACACACCCAGCTGGCAGGTGCATCAGGAAGCGGGGTCTGTCCGCAGGGCTCAGTGAGTCACAACTGGGCAACCCAGCAAGGCGTCTGGCTGCGGAGAACTGGACAGACAGCGTGCTGGCCTCAGGAGGTCACCATCAGCAATTCCATGCTGCCACCCTCTCCAGAGCACACTGGCAAGTGCCAGGCCTGTGACTGCAGTTCCACACTCTGACTCCCCTGGAACACGGGCAAGGCCAGTCACTGCACAAGAAATGGGAGGGGAACGAGCCCACTCCGACCCTCTGCACAGGTGCCAGGTGCTCAGACAAGAACACGGCGCCGAGGGCAGCTCAGTGTCACAGTGGTCACTTCGTACACACAGGCCCTAGGCTGTCTCCAGGTCCACCACAAAAAAGAAAGGGAACAGCAAGATTTAAGCTACACACCTCCCAGGCCTGATGCTACCTTTTTTTTGTTTTGTTTTGTTTTGTATCAAGGATTGAACCCAAAGGCACTTGACCACTGAGCACATCACAGCCCTTTAAAATTTTTTATTTTGAAGCTGGGTCTTGCTAAGGTGCTTAGTGCTTTGCTAAGTTGCTGAGGCTGGCCCTGAATTTTCAATCCCTCAGCCTCAGCCTCCTCAACTGCTGATGCTACCATTTTGTATAGCAAAACAAACCAAAAACCACCCCTGAGCAGGGCACTAGGGGTACAGTACTTGCCTAGAAGGTGGGTTCCATCCCTAGCACTGCACACAAACAAAAGAACCCCACAGGGGCTGGGGGTGCAGCTCAGGGGTAAAGCACTTGCCTAGCACATGTGAGGCATGGAGTTTGATCTTCAGCACCACATAAAAACAAAGGTATTGTGTCCATCTACAACTAAAAAATATTTCTAGAAAAGAACAAAGAAAACAACCCCACCAACATACCAAAAACAAAAATAACCTTATAGACCAAGAAAAAAAAAAAAAAAACTAGAGTTGGGGGACTGGTTCAGGGGTAGAGGGCTTGCCTAACACAGCAAAAAAAAAAAAAAAAAAAAAAGTATAGATAAACTGGGAGAACTATTTGCAAACTATTACAAAAGGACTAGTTTTCTTAATACATAAAGAGCTCCTACAGATCAACAGTAAAGTTCACATAGCACTTACTACTCAGCAGGCACTGTTCCAAGCGCTCACCATGGACTGTCACTACCTTCCTACTGCACATCACAACAGACACCATGAGGCTATCTGACCAAGGTCTCAGGTAGGCAGCTGGTGCAGACAAGAGACCCAGAAAAGGCAGCATGGGGTCCACACCACCAACCCCAGTCCCAGCCAGCCTGGGAAGGAAAGGATCAAGAGTGTGCTGCAGACCTCTGCAGGGGGATCTCTTCCCAGCATGCACACTTCCAGCTCAGGAAGAAAACCAGGGAGACATCATGTCCAGCTCTACCCAGCCAAGCTGACTGGGAGCCGACTCCAGGCAAGGATGCAGGAGTCAGGCTGCTGAATGACCACTGGTATTGCCTCTCTGGAGGGCAACTTGGCACCAATTACCCAAACTAAAAACACACAAGCCTCTTGCCAGGAATTCTACTTCTAGGAATTCGTCCCACAGATCTACAAGCAGCAAAAGTTCAAAGACAGTAGCGACCACATTTTCATGCACCGGAAGCCCAGAATAACCATGTGTCCATCAGCAGGAGGCTGGTGAAACCAGTCATGGAACATCAGGTCATGGTACCATGGCTGCACAGGCCCGCAGCTAACACCCTGAGCTCACAAAATTGACAGTCCAGGTTAGGACACCTGCCCTTGGACTCAGCCCCATGCCAGGAAGGGCCAGGCTGGAGCCTGCCCACCTGCTGCAGTCTGGCTCCACACCACTGAGGGTACAGGTGGTCACTCTAGCAAGGCCAAGGTACCATTCTTCTGATATGGACTAAGAACAGTGTGCATAATAAGTCACAGAGACTTCCAGCCATCTCCAGTACAGATGTTCAAATTTAAAAAAAAAAAAAATCAGTGAGGGGTAGGGTCATGTTGTGCTGTGGAGGAATCACATCTACTTACAGAGGCCCAGAAATAACCAGGCGCTCAGAGCAGAGAAGACAGTGGAAATCCATCTGGACAGAGTTGGGAGAATGACCTCTCACCACGTTTCCATTCGTAGTGTTTTAGGACTTTAAAAGCCAAATCATTACTTTTTTCCTCCTTGCAGTACAGGGGATTGAACCCAGGGACACTTTACCACTAAGCTACATCCCAATCTTTTTTGACACAGGGCCTTGCAAAGTTGCCAAATTGGCCTTGAACTTGGGATTTCAGGCCTGTGCTACCACGGTCAGTTACTACCTATTTTTAAAAGCTAGGGGTATGGCTCAGTGGTAGAGGGCTTGCCTAACATGCAAGAGGCCCTATGTCTAATCCAGGTCAGGAAAAAAAAAAAAAAAGATTTGTAAAATCAAGATGATTTCTCCTGGTCCTGGTGTCTGTTTCAAACATCTTTTGGATGCAGGGGACAGCCTTTACTGTGAGGCCAGAGAGGGTGGAGTCCCAGCACAGGAAAGGCTACGGCTGGCATTTTTCAGCACTTCCTCTGGGCAGAGGAAACCACAGTATTGCCAACCCTGGAGGAAGTGGCATATGCCCACAATCAGGTATGTGTGGCCCAACTGGAACAGAACAGGGACCAGGGAAGGGTTGGAGGATACCACCAGCCCTGGGCACTCCAGAGGTTATAGATGGTCACCTGCAGCCCAACCCACGTCCGCCCAGTCCCAATGGGACTGGAAACACCCAGGCACAGGAATGCGGGGGCCTGGCAGGAAGCAGAGTTGTGTGGGCCAGAGGGATCTGTTCTTTTTCGGGACTGGCCATCGACTCTACCATGGGTCTTTCACAAATGCATGGGTTGAAGAGTACCCGGGCAGTGTGGCCCTGAGGACAGGCTGAAGAACATGGCCAGAGGAGAGATGGAGAAAGGGAGACAACGAAGAAAAAGGGGCTGGACTGGGGAGAGAAGAAATAAAGGAAAACAAGGGGGGGGGTTAGCCTCCTGGACCAAGAACACAGTGTCTTCTTTGGCTTTCCAGGTACTCCTGCCACCCTGGACCTGGGCCCTGCCCACACGTCACAATGTGTCACAGCCCCCAAGGCCATAGCAAAGCTGACAGCGGGAGGGAGGAGGCCACCAAAACATCACCGCCTCCCGGGAACTTCCCTCAGTCAGGGCTGGTCCCTAGCCTCAGTAAACAGGTTTTAAAGTCATTAGTCAGCACTTCGCCTGGCAGACCCACACCTAGGTCCTGGATCCCAAGCCAGGTATCCAGGAACCCCAAACCATGCAACCATGGGGCACAGGGTCCTGGGAGACACCATGGGAAACTGGCTAGTCAGCAGGGGGCCAGCTAGGCCTGACTTGGCCTCTGGCTTCTCTAGTCCAGCAGGCTCAGCCCCAACTGCCAGCAAGAAGGAATCTCCTGCAGCCCCTCCCCCTCTGGGCCTCTGACGCAGGGAGAGACCAGCCAATGGGAGGCCACCGGACAATGTCAACAAACACCCAGCCAGCCAGACAGGTGGGCCTGCCTGGGTCACCAGACTCAGATAGGGCCACTGGGTCAGACCAGAGGGGCAACAGTGGGAGGAGTGATCAGGACACCCCAGCCCTGGTGGTCTCCTCAGGCAGCCAGACTAGCTAGAGTTTCTCCACCCAAAGGAAGCTAGGCCCAACTGGGCAAGAGATGGGGTCTCCAGGGTCAGATGAATCATCAGAGCTGTGCAGACCAGACACCCTATCTCCAATTCAATGCCCAGCTCCCTCCACCCACTCTAAGATGCTGTCCTGGACCATCCACTACCCACCAGACCTCCAGCACTGGGCAGCCCAGGGCCTGGGAGGGTAGCATCACCCCTTCCCCCACCCCCACATCGGCCAGAGGCCTTACCTGGAAGTCGTACAAGGCCACAATGTTCTCGTGCTTCAATTCCTAGGACGGAAATCCAAGTTTCTCAGGAGTGGGCGAGAGCCAGCCCACCCTCCTCCTTCTTCAAGGCGCTAGCTCACCTTGAGTATTTTTATTTCCTTCCCCAGCAGTGTCTGGGACTTGGCCAGATTCTTCTTGTTAATGCACTTGACTGCGACCTCCAGGTCGTGCTTCTGAAAACCAAGCAGGGACTTTCAGAGCTACAGCCACCCTGAGGGTTGCCCCCAGGCTAGGGACACAAAGATGCCCCAGGGTGACTAGCATGAGATCGCAAGAGTAGGGGGTCTCTGAGGCAGCCTGAGTAGGGCTCTTGGCTGGGAACTCGGATCCCAGGTAGAGTTTCCAGCCTGGCTTTCTGGAGGTGGGGGTCCCAACTGGGTTTAAGGCTGCGATCCCGGGAGGGTCTCCTGGGCCGGGGTCCCAGACTGCGGTCCTGGGTAGGCTTCTGGAGCTGGGGTCCGGGACTGGGTTCCGAGTGGGTTTCCCGAGCTGGGGTAGGGGAATGGGGTTCGGTCTGGGGTCTCGGGTGGGCTTCCGAAGCTAGGGCCCGGCTGTGGTCCCAGCGGGCGCCTCACCCACCTCGCGGTGGCGGCCCTTGAAGACCACCGCGAAGGCGCCATGGCCGATCAGGTCCTTGCGGGAGAACTCGAACCTGCCCACGGTCTCGGTGCCGCCGCGGCCGGGCTCCATGGCGAGCGCGGGCCACGGGAGCGGGCCGCGGGGCGGCGGGCCGGGGCGCGCGGGGCTCAGGCGGAGGCGCGGGCCGCGGCCCGAACGCGCGCGCGGGGCTGGGGGCGCGGGGCCGGGCGCGGGTGCATCGCCGGGGCCGCGCGCCCCATCGGGCAGGCCGGGGCCGGGTCCCAGCCCCGCGGGCCGCGGGCCGTGCGGCGCGCTCCCTCGGCGTCCGCCGCGGCGCCCTCGCGACGCTGGCAATCCGAACCCACTCGGACTCCGACGCGAGTCTGGCTCCGATTCGCGCCTCGACCGCGCTCTGGCGTAGACTGCGACTCCGACCCCAGCGGGAAACAAAAGAGCCGCGGAGCTCGGGCCTCGGAGCCTAGGACGCCGGCGCAGCCGCACTGCGCGGGGGCGGGGCCTGGAGGGGGCGAGGCCTGGCGGCGGGGCGGGCCTCCAGGGTCTAAAGGGCGGCGGGGAGGGGCCTGAAGGGGCGGGTACTCAAGGGCAGGGCGGGGCCCGGAGGGGCGGGGCCTGCCGGAGCTGGGACCTATACGCGGTGGAGCTGATGGCGAAGGGGCGGGGACACCAGGGGCGGGGACACCAGGGGCGGGGCTGCACGAGGCGGGGCCTATCAGGACAGGTCCTGGTGGCTGATAGAGTGGCGGCGCTGGCGCAGCCAACGTGTAGGAGCAGGTTCGGGTTGGGGCTACCGAAGACCCTGCCCAGGAAGGATGGGGTTTCATTCGTCCGGATCTTGCCTTATGTGCCATGTCTTTGCAGTCCTGGGGCTGCCCAGTCCTGTTTCCCCCTGGGATGTGGCATATGAATCTGAAAACTGAGATCTGGACAGAATGAGAATGGCTTCATTAGAAGTTATGCACTTGCCTTCCAGGACCCGGATGTAACCCGGTGATGCCTTGCATGCTTGAGACCTTGGGTTTAATCTCCAATGCCAAAAATAATAAGAAGAAATAAAGCTGCATTCCATAATGTCAGGTCATAAGCCAAAATGGTTGCATCTAAACCTAGGAAAAGTTAGACAAATCCTGGTGCATCTATCTCGCAGAGTAATGAACCTGCGCTGATAGGCAGTGTTAAGTATCTACGTGCTCAAGTGTAAAGTTCTCCAAACTATAAGTGGAAGCAAGATGCAGACGAGCATACTATGCTATTATCTGTGATGATGAGGCCATTGGAGAGATTTTGTGTATGCAGGACACCTATGTGTGCACATAGCAGTTTAGAAACTAACAGCTAACCGGTCCCTATCATAGGCCAGGCAGTGTTCTTTAAAGATATTTATTAATTGATTTATTCTTCATGATGATTCCTGAGGTACCTGATGCCCCCATTTTACAGATCAGAAAATCAAGGCCAAGAGAAGTTAGGCAAGAAAACCAGCCAGAGTTCTAGTCAGGTGGGTTGGTGATAGCACACACCTGTGATTCCAGCAACTTGGGAGGCTGAGGCAGGCGGATCACAAGTTCCAGGCCAGCCTGGGCAACTTAGCAAGATCGTGTCTCAAAAGAGTGGGGGAGTTGTGGATGTACTTCAGTGTTCAGTGGAAGAGCACACCTGAGTTCACCCCAGTGCTAAAGAAAGGCAGGAAAGGACAAGCAAGCAGGCAGTGTTCCTGTCAGGAAGCCCTGGAAGGGGCTGCTCCAGAAGACAGTGGAGGGGTCCTTCTCACACTGCACACGCACACCAGGCCTTCCTGCAAATTGCTTTCATCATATGCAGTGGTCCTTCTGCAAATGAATGATTCTGAACAGGCCTCCATACCCCCAGCCTCTGGAAACACCTAGTTCAGAAGGTAGGCTCTTGGGCCAGGCCCTTTCCTGGCTGCAGAAGACAGCCTCCTAGTGGCCTGATGCTCAGGGAGGAACCCAGTGCGATCATTCCTGGAAGCCCTTCAGCTTACTCAGTTCACGTTCCAGGCCCCAGAACACAGGGTTCTCCACCCTGGATGGAGGCCAGAGGACACCAGAGCAGGAAGGAACAGAGGTCTCCTTGCCCAGCACTTGTGTTTTCCAAATGAAAGTGTCTCCCAGTGCCATAGCCACATGGTCAGCCATAGCACCCCCGTGTGTCCACGTTCATTCCTCCTTTATTCAGTGAGCTAAGTGCTGGGCTGGCCCCAGTGGAGATGGAGTCCCTGCCCTCAAGAGCTACCTGGTAAAATTGCAACTGAGGGCAAGCATGAAGGTCAGGTGGTAAGAATCCAGAACAGAGCAGGTGGTAAGGGCCACCAACCTAGCCAGGTACCCAGACTGGGGGAATAAGCCAAGGGGATTTCTGCCTTAAGTTCAATTGAAGAGGGCCAAGAGGCCAGGAGAGTCCGGATGGCAGGAAAGATTTGCTTTTGGAAGTTACTGGGCCCTCTGAGGGAGCAGGGTTCTCTTTTGTTTTGATTTTTGTTTTTTTGCAGCACTGGGTATTGAACCCAAGGCCCCAAGCATGCTAGCTAATCCTCAACCTCTACTTTTCCACTCAATCTGTACGCCCCCCAGTCCTTTTTATTTTACTTTGAGACGGGGTCTCGCTCAATTGCAGAGGCTGTTCTCAAGCCTGAGATACTCCTGCCTCCCCAGTCATCTCTGGGATTTCACTGGGTAATTTTCAAAAAATTGAAATGTGAACTTCCATACAAGTTTACGAAGAACGAAGGCAACAGGTACGTTTGGCTCACCAACAAGAGAGCTCCCAGGGCAGGAAGGTGGTTCCAGCAGGAATTTGAGGAATTGTTAGCGTCAGAAGTTTGGAAAGGGGAGGAGTACTGGGGGTGGAACCCACGTGTCCTATACCCCTGAGCTTCAACCCCCAGCCCTTTAGATAATTTTTTAAAATTTTGAGACAGGGTCTTGTAACAAGGGGTTCACTTGATGCTTTGACTATATCCCCTGAGGCTTTGACTATATCCCCTGAGGCTTTGAAACTTACATGTTTTTTTTTCTTTTTCCAAATTTTCTTTTCCCTCTACTTCTCCTCCCTGATCTCTCCTCCCTAATCTCATTTTATCTGAATCACCTCTTTAAAAGCCCCTGTTCCGGGCTGGGGACATAGCTCAGTTGGTAGAGTGCTTACCTTTCATGCACAAGGCCCTGGGTTCAATCCCCAGCACCACAAAAAAAAATAAAAATAAAAAATAAAAGCCCCTGTTCCTGTGGATGGGCACAATCACAGCCTCTGGAACAGGAGTTCCCTGTACTTCTCCTTTGCTAGCAAAGCAATAAATCTTCTTTTTCCTTTTTTTTCTCAAAACTGTCCTTGTTATTGGATTGGCACCAGGGACAAGGACCGATCTTTTGGCAACAGCACCACACCCAAGGCCTTGCCCAGGAGTGTTCCCCCCACAGCCCATTAGGCCATGCCTCCCTCCCCAGTGCCACCCTGCCTGTGTGCCACACCCTGAGCCAGGCGTCTGCCCTCTGGCCTGGACCACACCAGGGCCCACAAGCAGCCCCTGGCTTCTTCCCTCCTCACCCAACCTGGCAGGCTCTGTGTCACCCAGTAATGTTAACACATGAGTTCAGCTTGAGGGCCACCTGCTGCAGAAGCCCTCCCTGCAGATCACTGCACCCCAGGCCCCTCCCCCATGTCAGGTGCTGACCAGGAGCCTGTGAAGCTAGGGTGGCACCAGAGGCTGGACCACTGGGTAGCATTAGGGAGAATTGGACACAGGCAGTGCCATCCTCCACCTTAGAACAAGAATCACTGCCTGATCTCTCTGAGTCAGCCTGACCTGGAGCCCAGGTGGCACTCCCCAGGTGGTACCCCACCATCCTGCCAAGGAAGGAAATTGGTTTCTAGGACTGACATCCTGAAAACCACTGGTTCCTTTTGAAGCTGATGCCACGAGGAGCCTTCCCTAGCTGAACCTCAAAATTCCCCTCTCTCCCCACATGTACCCCAGGCTGTATGTAAGTGGAAAAGGCTCTCAGTCTCCCTGAGCCCCTCAGGTTGGTCCCCAGTACACCTGTGACCATGGAGCCACCCTCCTCTCTGGATGTCCCTCCTTGGCTCCTTTCCTCATGGGGAGGAGAATCACATCATCATGTCAGCTAACCTCCAACAGAAAGGTAGCGTGGCGGAGGGCTCCATGGGGTACAGCTGAGATCCCAGCAGCTCCGGAGGCTGAAGCAGGAGGATCGCAAGTCAAGGCTAGCCTCAGAGACTTAGCGAGACTCTCAGCAATTTAGGGAGACCCTGTCTCAAAAAAAAAAAAAAAGGTGGGTGGCGGGGAGCTGGGGATGTGGCTCAGTGGTAAATCACCCTGGGTTTAATCCCTGGTATCAAAAAACAAAAAACCAGTGACGTTCCTTCCATGGAAACTCTGTAGCATGATCACTAGGTTATCTTCTTCATGAATTAGTGTTGCTGAAATGCTGCTTGTTATTTTCTAGCCCCTCCTCCAGGGTCTAAGCTCCAAGACACCAGGAACTTGAATACTTCATTCTCTAAAAAAGACTTAGGAAGGTGGTGCACACCTGTAATCCCAGCAGCTAGGGAGGCCGAGACAGGAGAATCTCGAGTTCAAAGCCAGCCTCAGCAATAGTGAGGTGCTAAGCAACTCAGTGAGACCCTGTCTCTAAATAAAATACAAAATAGGGCTGGGATGTGGCTCAGGGGTGGAGTGCCCCTGAGTTCAAACCACATCCTGGGCCAGACTTAGGAGGGCTGGAGTGCAGCTGGGGCGGGGGTGGGGGGGAGTGCTGGTTTAGCCCACCCAAGGCTCTGGGTTCATCCCAGCACAGAAACCTGGCAAAACACAGCACAGTGAGCCCAGCCCTAGGCCCGTGGAGGAAGGGAGCCGGGCGCTGGCTGTGTGGCTGGCACCACCATCCCACAGCCCCACCTTCTCTGGCCCCCAGGACCTGGGGACCCTCCTAGTCTCAGGATGGGCCCTGCAGGTCAGGACTCCTCTGGGATTCTGCATGCTGTTCCGGGAATGCTCCCACCTGGACCAGCATCAGAAGGCCCATCACAAGTTCTGCTTTCACCCTCCCCAAGGTCCCTGGGGTGTAACAGGGGTTCACTTGATGCTGTGACTGTGTCCCCTGT